TACTCTCTCTCTCTCTCTCTCTCTCTCTCTCTCTCTCTCTCTCTCTCTCTCTCTCTCTCTCTCTCTCACCGTAGTATTAAAAATTTATGTCTGGCTTCATTTATACCGAGACTTTAATTTTTCATTACGTTTCGTTGAGTAATACCCGCGGAATAGTACCATATTTCCGATGTTTATACCCGCGGGTTAATGCATACCGCACTGCCGCGTAACTGTTTATATTTTGTTACGCAGATGTACCGCTAGATATTTTGCGAGCGGAAGCGTACACAGCGAGCAATCTCGAGCGCTTCCGCTTTTCGGCGCGAATTGCGGTTTATGTGAAAAATAGATCGATCGACGGGCGGAATTTTTTCACACAAAGAAAATACGACGAGCCGCGATAATAATTAATTTGCTAGGAGGGGGACAAAATGGGGCTCGTTACATACATATTATACGTGCAACCGATAAAGGATTTTATGGCAAAATATATTGTTATCTCCTCTCGCGCGTGTTTACGCAACTCAAGCGTTATAATGATCGCGCTGTTATTTCATTTTTCTCATTATCGACATAACGTGCTCGTATCGGGTAAACTTTCTGTATCTGCATGCACATCTAGTAGTTTTGCCCCGCGAGATTTCTTTTATTTCCTCGTTAAAACATAGCATTACCAAGAACGGTGACGTTCGTGACCAGCATCCTCGGCGGATGCGTATTCACTTGGCAAACGTACACTCCGTGATCTTCCCTCCGTACACCGGAGATGGCCAATCTCCAATTGTTTGGATACTGAAAGCTCACGCTGTATCTTGAGTCCGATATGTGGGTAGTGTTCCCGAGAGTTAAGAGGGACGCCCAATCGGTATTCCGTCGTAACCACATTACCTGGAGTCCGCGAAAATATTTATCCACCGTGTTAGGATCAGATCGTGCAGCGCGAGATGCAGTAAGAAAGTAGTTACGATACGAGTATCAGATGAGATTTTCAAGTAGTGCGAATAAGTAATAAAGGAAAGTGATAAAGTAATTGTTGCGACTGTTATTCTGCTATTCCGATTAATTAGCCTGTGCTAGTCTGGCATTATTTTTCTGCCGAGTAATAAATGATGGATTTCGATATATGTGAAAATTAGTATATGTTGTTATTCTAATTACTTTCACTAGCATCGATTCGGTCGCGAATGATTCAACACGCACCTTCTTCCCAGAGAGCATAGCGACGCGGCAATCAAGATAGGCTGTTGCACCTAAGTGTAGTGCCACATTTTGCGAGCCGTTGATACCCTGGCCGTCTGCATTTTCGAAATACGGATCCCAATCCGTGACACGGTGATGCCTCAAACGTGGTATTCGCAAGGGAGGCAGATTGACGACTATTTCTGAAACATATCGGACGAATTAATCTCTGGTTTCTTAATTGTAAAAAAATTTTTTTTGCATCAACGACGCAATAACCGTTTGTATTTGGATATTTGCGTTTTAACGTTTTTAACGCCATTGCGTTTACTACTCTAATGTATATATAAATAGTTTTTGAATCAAAGACATCGCATCGTTAACAATGTAAGAAGCGTGTGAAAAGACTCGAACTGGTGTTCTCCAAGAGACAATCTCGGCAAGATTTCCACGTAAGCCGCCGGCACTCGGTTTGAATGGTGCAGCTAGAATGGGATTCTCGTAAAAATGCGAGATTCGTGTTGAAAAGCACGAAAAACTCGAGTGTGTCATGTAAGGTTGAATAAATTGTACATTCACTTTGCTGATCGTTTTATGTCTTCGCCACTTGCATTTCTATTCACTCGGAATGGAAAACATATCGAAGTGCTTTTAAATTTGTATTCAAATGTTCAGATTTGAGCATGTCTCATTTGGTTTATACGTCCTTATGTTGCAACAAGTTTAAAATCCGTGCAAGATTTTACCGTAGAGCAAAGACGCTTGTTACCTTTCTCTTTTCAAAGCTTTATTAACAATATGGGATAAGGCAAATACTATTTAATTATTATCACTGGCAATTCCACTTTCTATCACGAGAAAACTAAACAAGCGCGAAAGAATAAAGAGGCGCGAGATAAAATTGCAGCCGCGTAGCCTTTTGACCCTTTATTTCGTACGCTTCGTAACCGCGCGAAGGTTTCGCTTGAGCTTACGAAGCACTCAGAAATTTTACGGATACTTGAAACACAAAAGGTACAATTATGCTGTAATGGTGAGCAGGTGGCTTTACCGCAACGAACGACACAATGTTGGAAAGTTGTGGGGAGAAGGTACCCGCCATACTTTATTCTGACATCATTTCTTTATTGCACTTTACGTATTGTTCTATAGCTGGTATAAATTTGAAATTTTTCCATTTTTTAAGATGACGCGAAATATCAATTACTCAAGTAAAGAACAGATTGTCCATCCAGTGAGAATACGTATGGCGAAAGTACGAAAAATGCAATTGATAAAGATATAGTATTGATTTTATTTCTCTCTTACAATTGAAACTACTTTTTGTCACCCTCTGTTACTTCTTTTAATTGCGGCAACGTGCGTTACAACATTAGCTACGAAATTTGCGATACCTTCGATACTTTCCATGAGTAAAAATTTGTACAATCTATTAAAACGGTAAAGCAGCCATAACTCTTCAGTCTTCCTCGTAATCCTGAAAAAGGCATTTGCGAGAGAATCTTTCGGGTTCGTGAACGACCGATATGTTTCTCGGTGAGCGTGTAACGGCGCTTTCTTACGATCCGGAAGTCCACCGAGGTCAATCCCTGATTTTCTTCGTCGGCTGTCGAAAAGATCGGATACCCAATACTGCAAGGTTGCGTAGAGAGACACAGTTGTACAATTTTACACAGAGCCGCGCAAAGTTCATCCTTTGTTCTCTTTTAAACGCAAAAGCAGATTGTCCATCGTCGTATACACATCTCCGCGAGATCACGGAAATTGAAAACCTATTCCTCCTTACTCCGTGCAATTTCGGAATAATCTTCGCAGTAGTTGAGAAAGGATGAAACACGAAAGTTCAAAGGAGATGCGAAATGGTAATACATTGTCAAGAGATGATGACAACATCGCGAACTCGAGATCTTGGGGGGGAAAAAAAGACGGAAGATAAGTACAGAATTTCTGGCAGACTGCACGACAAAAGACCCTTTGAATTAATCCGGGTCAGCCAAACAATCAGATCCATTTCTGTGTGCTCCATTTCTCCCGTAATTTACATATCCCATATAATTATTTCCTATTTTCGCTTTCTCTATCGCTATAATAAAATTACGCTATATGTGCGCTGATAACGGCTCGTGATATATTTATGAAGAAAATAATATTTCTTCCAAGTGTCTACAGAAAATTATTATATATGAATGTGTATTGCGTTCGCGTTTTTATAGGATATTGCCAAAGTGATAAATGACTGCGATAAATGATTTTTCATCGCTGTGCATCTTTAGAGCCGGAATTTCATGACTGATCTGATCTGTTCCGGTCGACGAAGAAAATTACTCATCCGTTATTGATTCGATTATGCGGGAACGCTCGGGGTTAACGAGAAAGAGAACTAAATGTCTGCGACACAATGACTACCTTTGTCTCTTTCAGATTTCATAAATCGCTCCTTAATCAAATGCAAGAGTTAAAGGATCAGCGCTCGAAGAATGTCAATTCACTCCGAAATATCGCAAATAATTCGTCTTCATTTAGTAATACTTTGGAACGATGCGGTTCGTCGCATGTCAAATAAACATCAACAACGTGTATTTAATTAAATTAGTGTGCACTGCAATTTGATTGATGTTTATTATTGTTATTGTTGCTATCGTTAATATATTGCTGATGATTGAAGAACAGAAAATGTTAATTGGCTTATTGATTGAACGCGCGTGCACAGTTTGCTGATACTAATTTAATGTATCTTTATTAATTTGTGCAATTTATACATCTCTTATTAATATATCGCACAAAACCACGTAATCCGAATTGATGTCACTTGTAGCACAAATAAAATTCATTTATGCTTTACGAGTTTGTGATTACAGTTCTGTAAATTCAATTCAATTGATTGAAATATAGCAGATAAATTGATGGTCGAACGGATCAAACGAATATGGAGCACGCGCATTTTGAAGAGTTTAGATAGCTCTATCAATTTATTGCCGTCCAATCAGAGCAGCGCAGTCTGGAGCGGAGAATTAAATGTCTTTTCCAGCGATCGCGATATTTTACAATCGTTAAAACTTGTTTTTATCTTCCCTCTGGTATTTTTCTTTGATTAATTTTCACGCATACAAATAGAGGAAAATCCCCTATTATGAGGGTTATACAGGTTCCTAATATGAGGCAGCGGGGTTTCTACTAAATTAATAGGCATCGTCTGTTGGTTCTACCATGAATTTATTACCCTTGCAGTGAGATCTGTTTAGTGGAAAATTCATTGTTAGATCGTGCAATCGCCGCGAAAAAAGATTGTGATTGAATTTGGATGTTGAAAACCTGCTATCTCATATTAGAAGCCTATCTTATAATAGGGGACTTTTCTCTGTCAAATATAGCAAATATCTGATTATTTGTATATTCGTATTTAATATTCGAGTCTTCATTTATTCGTACCTAATAGTTATAGATTCTTCATTATTTTAGGACAAGAATAAAATGTTTATCCGATACTGAGATACCATAAGATGACACTTTATTTTAAAAAAATATATTTTGAAATACATTTTGACAACTATTCAAAATTCAGATTAAAGTCACATAAGTATGTGAACAAAAAGATCGCGGCACGTGAAAGAATTCGCGAATGATTTATGTTCCCTGCGGTGCGAACACTTACCGCCGCGTTATTCTCAATTGAGAATAACGGGTCTTCGTTTTTAATTGTGCTCTGGCGTTTCACGAAAGCTAACCGGGCATTTCTGCGACCCCTACAGCATAGATTGCACCTTGCTGCTCGAATACAATGTGTGTAAGCCGGTTGCGAGATTTTAGTACCACTAAAGCGACTGCTGTGCGTTACACGTTCAGCGTATAATCCAGTTCGTAAACGCGAATCGACAGTTGCGTGGGATAAAACCCTTTTTTCCCCAGTTTAAGCGCGGACGACGATTTCCGCAGCTCCATTCGGTGCGAGACATTAATCATTCGCGACGAAATGTAAATGCAAAAAATACGGGCGAGAGAGCTGAGGGGAAGCTCCTTGAATTCAGGCGCGAAGAAGCGAGAGATTTTCTTAACGATTGTCATAAAATTTAATATGCTTTACAAGTCGCAGTCGTTATATCCGGCAATATAATTCGACTTCTTGCTGAAAAAAAAAAAAGGAAGTTTGCATTACATGAATTCCAATAATACGCGTGGCGACACAGTATACCTGCGTTTTTACGTAAAGAAATTGACGTAAAATTGTAAAATAATCCGATATACAGAGGCCGGATCCAGGTCACATCGAATACCTACAGCATTAAAAAAGCATTACAGGCTTTCGAACGGCGTTCGGCAGATATGGTAATATTGCGGTGCATCACAATGCGCTTTTGTGTTGCGATCGATGTTCTCGTAAGCAAGTGCAAAACCATATTACGCGCCCCGGCAGTATCGATACGCCTACGAAGACGGTTTTTAATAATTCGCGAAACACACCCTCGACGACGAAATTATAAACGGGTTCTGCGATCACGAAATCTACACGACCGAATGAGACAACTTTAATTAAGAGTGTGTCCATTAGGCATCCGGAATTCGGCGTATAATGGAAAGAGCACGAAATCACTGTACACTTCTTTCATTAACGCTAATGGGAAGCAGCTGAACCCGCAAACGGGGAAACTGCTTTCTCTCTCTTTCTCTCTCTCTTTCTCTCTCTCCCCCCCCCCTCTCTCTCTCTCTTTCGCGACACACCGAGATCGAGGTAAAAGTGTTTTATTATCGATCTATCTTGATTCGTACAATCTTAATTGATTGTCGTGGATCCTCTGTTTCAAACAATAACTCGTAGTCTCGCAGTCATTAATTGCGACGAGACTGTCTTAATTGGGACGCGGAACGAACGTGCCGCTTAAAGTGACCGAATATAAATTCTGCAGTTGTCCGGGGAAAATCAGGTCCCCAAACGACCTCCGGGTTCCATCGGCTCGAATAATACTCGCTGGTGTATGCGAGGGTCATAACCCCAGATAATAGGATCTCTGAAAATATTTGGCGTCAGAATTACTAATTCGTCGTGCCTGTGTAAACCTTTACACAACGTTATTTGCATTGTGTAGGTATTTCACAACACTATCCGCTAAATCGCTCAATGATTATTAGGTTCCAAAGGAAAGAAACGATTTTACTTAAATAACGAGTAAACGCACCTGATCGTTCTCACGTTTTCCACCCGTTTTCTGGAGAAATTTTTACAAGGCCTTTTTACGAAACGCTGCGCGCATCACGCTACGTTCGCATGTAGCCTTGTGGAGACGTCTACGATCCCCTTTGTCTCATCCCTTTCGTCTCCCACGTTTTCCTCCGTCGCGGCGCGGCGCGGCATCGTGCGAATCCGAGATGCGCGGTTTCGACTGCATTTCTACAATCGAGGTCGCGCGACGTAATAAATATACATCCACAAGACCATTTGTTTCCCTACATCGCCTTATGGCAAGGATGGTAGCATCGCCGAAGATGCTACCATTCGTCTTGTCGCTCATTTTTCATTGGCCAGTACCGGCACTGTTGATGCTCCTACGAACCCTCCGTCGAAATGAGACGACGTTTGCGAGTTTCTCGTACTTTGTGCTCGAAGCCCGACGTGAATCCAATTACAGACCGGAGGAATGCGTGTAAGTTGGACCAGCGTTCGACGTGCGCAAGGTTGTACGATGACTTTTCGTACAGAAAGAAAACGCACGTACAACTTTTTTGTCGGCGCAAACTTTCTGAATAATAATTTGCACAATACATGTTTGAGTTTATTGTGTATTTTATGTTATTTGCCACGTGCAACAATACTTGTTAATAACGTCTTATACATGGGTTATTTTATAAAATTGTTCTAAAACGTCTTAAATTATACGTCAGCTTCACGCGGTAAAGCACGACGTTGAGAAAGTTTGCGGCGCAGCAACGTTGTTCCTAAATTATAGGTCATAAAGGTTCACCGTCGCGAAAGTTGTAATTACCCCCATAAGTCATGGAAGGATATGACCTATCAATCCACCGAAAACCAATATCGCCGGGTCAACAGTTTATTAAAATGACAAGTTATCCCTTTCGCGAGGACAAGTTTCATCCCTCGACAAAGGATACTCGCGGACAGGTAGCAAATCTAGCAAGATGACATGCTTGCCTGTAACGATGAAAACTTTGTATGTAATCCGCAAGGTAACCTGTCCCCTCTCCCTCGCCGATGCACGATATTAAATCCAACGTGTCCGTAATTCTGTGCAGTCCTTTCCCCCCCGTTCCCCTATCATTGCGGTGCCTTGACGTTGCACATTCAAGTATTTATGCAATTTCACCTCTCTCGTAACTTACACCATTAAAATTAGCTGCTGTAATTGGATTGCTACTTCCATACTGGAGGAAGAGTTTCAACGTACGAATGCGTCTGAGGAACGGAGGGAAGAGTTTAATTTCTGCATAATTTAATTATATTCTAAAGGCACGTTCAAAAGGTACATCGCTTTGTCTCTTGCAGAAATTTTGTGCAATTTTTAAATCATCGTATTCTAATTTTTAATTATCAAATTGACGACGATAACGGTGATTTATTTTTACTTACAATTTACATGCATCGTCAGTCTTAGGAAATTTTCATATAACACTTGCTATGTCTATTTTAACTTTGATTGATCCTAATAACAAAAGCATGTATAATGGGACTATGAGAGAGAGAGAGAGGGGGGGGGGGGAGGGAGAGCTGTAATTCCAGTGTGACAAATAGGTCAAACGTGCATGGTCAGATTTACTTCCTACTACGCATCCACGTGTCTCGTATCTGTACGCTTCATTACAAACCAGAAGTTCAGTGCACAATAACCGCCTGTACCTACTGTCTCGTTGTTTCCTTTGATATATCAAATATTACAAACGGATTCTCGTCAGTGTTGCGACTGTGAATCAATTGTTATGTCAATGCGATCAGAAATTTATTGACTTTTATATATTTATTGGTCATCAATTTATTAAAGTTTTACACGTTCGTTAACATATCACAGATATAAATAAGAGTTATAAATAAAATTTCGGTCGAGTAAACATTAAGCCTAAACGAATTGCAAGACCATGTGCAAAATTTGGAAAATTGAGAATCCGTTTTGAAAGATTTTTCATGATTGTAATTTTCAAAAGAAATCGTTTTCTAGACCGTAGGTATAAGGGGGTTCTAGTGAGAAAGAATGGGGAAGATTTCATTTACGATTCTCAGTACGATGTTATGTCGAAGTCGTAAAATGTATGGCGTGGATTGGCAACGACAAACTTTGTAAATAGCACGAGACGGTATGTGTCCGTACGTGTGTGCAGCCAACATTCACGCGTGCAAAGCCATGTGCTACAGTCGAATGACAAGTCGCCAAACGAGTTTTGAATTGAATATTTCATCGGGTGAACTCCGAGCTTATACCCGACACGGACTTGCTCGTCTTGACAGGAGCATCAGTATCGCACACGAGCAAGAGATATAAATATATATTGAAAAATAAATGTGTAAAACTGCACGGCGAACAGTGGAAGGTGTGCAAGGTGAAAAAGATTGTATTTTCGGAATGAAAACATCAGAAATTTTTGTCTTTGCGCTCTTATAAAGTTACATTAATACAGCGACCGTGGTGATGATTCTTTCAAAGCGCTTGATAAGATTGCGCCGCATTACTTTAAGTGCGTCTTCAGAAAAATGGTCGTAACGGCGACAAGGTTAAACTTTCATGAGACTCCGAGAATGGACAACTGTATATATCACTCTAGACAATTTAAAGTTAATGCGGTGGGAATTATTACAAAAGTTTACGTGTTTGTGTTTTACAAAAATAGATATCTGTCCTGATGAAGAAATCAGTAATTAATAGAAGAATGGAGGGGAAAATATACGTATACGTTATACACTTTTGTATACCTTGCTGCAAGCATTCTACAGAATTTTTTAACATTTCCGTAAGCACCGAAAAAACAAGAAACTCAAATGATGTGTTCTCCCGGGCGTGCACAATTTTTTTCGCATACTGCTATGAAAGCCTGAAATTGTACTTGCATGAGCGCTCCGGAACGGTCGACTGCAGCGAGCGACTCTTTAAAGTCTAATCGGTTCAGCATTGAAATCCGGGACCTACTACAAAGCTATGTAGGACGAATGTACATCTTCTTACTGGCTCTCGGCGGAAAAGCCAGTGCAAGCATCCACAGAAAGTAAATATCCGAACGGTCAAGCTAATATAGATACGAGATTGTAGTCTATCGGAAATCGACAATGTAGCCATTCAATGTGTAATTTACCAATCGCAGCAAATAACAGAGAATAATTTTGTTGCTCGTTCACGAACAAAAAGATTCGAAATAGCAGGCTTGATGATTTTCTCTTTTATTTTTTGTTATAATCATCGCCAATCGACAGCTTTTGTTCTCGGACAGGCCCACGATCGCGATAGTCCGACGTGTGCTTTCAAAGTGGTTCACGTGAAAAAAATGTAATCACCTTAAACCCCGCGTCATGTCGTAAAATTTTACATGTTATCGAAACTTTCCCACGCTTGCAAGTTCGGTGCAAGTGAGGTGCATGAAAGTCCGACTAACTTTAGCATTAAACGAATCACTCTTACGGCTCGGTTTCTCGGCTTAGCCCCACGTACTGTTCAACTTTAGAGTAGGTAATTAAACCCGAAGTTCCCTGCTCTTCGATTCCAAATTTCTGCGCGACGTTTATTATGTTACAACGGCGCCGGAAATTATTCGGCGCGATAGTCTGAGATACATTCATGGGTCAATATGCTTAAGACATTTACCTCGATTCTCAATTTGTGCATTTACATAGCACAAATCCTATTTAATTCTGTTCTTTTCCTTCTCTTGTGAGGACCAAATTCGTTGAAACGTTATAATTGCATTTGTGGAAAAGTGAGAAATATAGCAATTCGTCGGCGACGGTTTGGTTTAATGACGCTCTGTTTCGGTGCACTACGAAAAAAATCACGGTATACGTATCGGGGGCGAACTACGTATTAACGCACCTTGCAGTTGAGTGATGTTCCTGGTGATTTTGTGGCTGTTAACGAGCTGCTCGCGCAGGTGTCTGTCGCGTTGCCGTGGATAATTGGCGATAACGATCGTGATTGCCGCCAATACAAGGCAGAACCTCGACCCCCACGCTGATCCTGCCATCGCCCGTCGGATTTCGCATCCCCCGTGGTTTTTGAAATGCAGGAATTGTTGGCAAACCTATGATGTATTCGCACGGTACCCAATCTTTCTCTTACTCTTTGTTCTGAAATCCAAACATTGCTGAAAGGATACAGGCATCCGTACAATCTGTATATGCCACGAATTGTATGAGACAGAATTAAATTCTTGAAAAATAACAGATAAAAGTATTCAATGTATATTAAATTAGTAGGCCAATTAAAATTTATATGTTAGTGAGCGAGTATTCAATGTATATTAAATTAGTAGGTCAATTAAAATTTATATGTTAGTGAGCGACGTTAAAAATGAACTGATCAATAATCAAGAAAATATACTATTTTTAAGCAAAATGCAAAATTACTAATTTTTTTGCACTTTACATTTGCACAATGTAAACTATTTTGTTTTACGTAAAAATTTCGCATTTTTTCACAATTTTGTAGTTATGTGTATATGTATAACATGTTTTGTGAAATTAATAATGACAGTGTTATTCACGAATAATCTAGCTTTTAGCGTCGTGTAAGAACAGAAGGACTACATAATTAGAAATATTACGTTTGTTCCTCTCATTAAAATTTAACAAAAAGCGCTAGAATCTGGATCGATTGTGTTATTTCTCGTAGTTGCTGCCGCAGTGCGTATATTGTTCTATATTGCTTTTGTTCGTGTATGTGCATCTCGTCGAGTGGCGCGCGGAAATAAACGAAAATGGAAGTTACTGTGGACAACGCACAAGAAAAATGCGACGATGACATCCGAAACAAGTGAGAATTTAGATACGCCCTAGAAATATATTATTTTATTATCCCGCGATGAATCTTCCTTCTCCTAAATCCATATTCAAAGGGTGGGATATATAGCGAACGAAAAGGAAAATGCGCGAGGAGGACGCGATTTTGTCTTCTGAAAAAAAAAAATTCATTTATCTTTCACGGGAAATTTACGTAAAAAAAAACGCGTATCGCTCCCTGCTCAAATTTCTTACAATTTTACCCATAAGTGACGCGCGTGCTTTTTATCTCGATACACAATGGATAGGATAATAAAATGGATGGAAGAGAATTTTATTTCAGCATAACATTTGCGTACGGTGTCGTCGAGAGATAGATCGTCAGTATCGTAGATTCACTTGAGTTTGTCGTCGGCGTAATATTGATTGCGTCATTACGTTAAGTGCATAATGAATATGTTTAACAAAACAATATTAATTTAGGGCGTTTAATTTAAAATATGTATTGATTACGTTATTACGCTAAGTGCATAACAAATATACTTAACGAAACAATATTAATATATGGCATTTAATTAAAAATATGTATGTCACAAGAATTTATTGTCGTTAGGGCTGAATGTGGACATACAATTTGCATTAAAAAGGAAGGAAGGGATATCCCTGTTATAAATGACGCAATTATTTTTAGAACACCCGTGTGTAATCGCTGTAATAAAATTTTCAACCGGTAGATTTCACTCATCGAATTTCGCATTTGCCTGTTCATAATCTTGTACTTGTAATAAGCATAGTTTCATGTAAACGTAATATAAGCTCGTAATATTCTGTAATTCCGCGTTCATTAGTAAAATTGCATTAGATGTTTCCAAAGAGCTAAGCATTCTACTACGAAATTAAGTATCACTTTTGATATAATGTACACTTTATTTGGCACATAAATTTAAGCGGCAACGTTACGTAAAAGTTGCCCGAGTTTGTCTCGTGAAAATTAAACAACTTTTATAAATTGAATATTAACTGAAATAATCCAAAAGTATTTAGGGATGACACTCACGTTACAACAATTTGAGCTGCAAGCGCCACGGTGATGTTCGCGTAAGTTCTCAAACTGGAGTAGAGAACAGCCAACTCTCTACAAACTTTGGATATATTGTTTTCGAAGGCGTTCACGCATCTAATAGAATTGATGTTATGAAGTTTAGCTCGTTAGATTTCTTCGACAGAATATTGGCATATTCCTGCCGCAGAGATGTAGAACGTTTGTCAAGGGTGAGCGAGATAGACGCGTAGGAGAACCGGGTGGAGAGAAAGACAGAAGGAGACAAGGGAGCGGAGAAGAAGCGAGGTAATACATCGGGTAGTTAGAAGGGAAGAGGGTGGCAACACACCGGAACTAGGCAGCGGAACTTTTGCAGTTTCTCGGGGATTCACCTGCAGCCGGTTTGCGGTCGTAAAGCAGAAACTGCTATCTCTATCCATATAGGAAAGAAGATATAGGCGATCGGGGCGCCTTCGGGATTTTCGTCTTGAGATATGCGCAACCAATCCGGCCGGTAGGCGGCTGGATTATTGTGTCCGAGTAACAAGGTGAGAGGATTTGCAATGCAGATCTTGCCATTATTGTGCGGGTTATATCCGGCGTGCTTTCTATGCGCCCTAAAATCTCTCCGCACGTTTACCTCCGTCACGACGAAGAGCGTGCTCTTTTAATTGCTATTCGTTTAATAGCAATTGTTTTATAACTGCTTGTGTTCTGCGATGGTTTTGGACGTTGCTAAATTTTCAAAAGTAAGATTTAAAAAGTTTCAGCACTAACTTTTTATGCGCCATTTACGGGAGATTTACTGCTAATTGTCTTATAACGTGCGTTAAAAGATTTAACATAAGAATCATTAATTAAAACATTGCGCTCTCTGTATACGGCATAATTATTATTGTAGCTTTCTCATATATTTTTGCAACGTGGTAAAGTTCTGTGCGTTCAAACACTGTGGATGAAATATTTACAAGTTCAGTAAAATAATTCACGTGCTCACAACAGCGAGATATTGCCAATAGCTGTGGCGTCGCAACATGTGCGACTTTCAAAGATTTCCTCCGGAGTAACGATACTGCTTTTCGGCTTTGGAAGTAGTGCGGAATCCGTTATAACGTTCCAGGAAGTCGTTTTCTACTGATATTTATGATGCGACGAATCACGTAACTTACTGTTGAAACCGCAGTTGATGAACAAAATGGCTTGCCGCGCATTTTCTCTATTATTTGCACACAATCTAATTTTTTTTTTAATGAGTCACGTTCGTATTTACATAACTTTTGGGAATTGTGTTTGCAATTATAATCAGTAGAAAACAGTTGTATGAAGAAAATTCTGAGTCTTATTTTTTTAATTATTTTCTCTCCCTGTATCCGTTTCAATATTTTTTTATTTTGCAATCCAAATATGCAGATATTTTTCTACGATATCATCCGTACCGCGATGAATAAATAATGTACAAATCTAAAATATTATTTTTGTGCATTTAACTGAATTAGCTTCAGGGATATACATGTATCTCAATGACACAATTATCACGATATTTCTGTATAATCTGTCCAACACACTTGGGATGTTTAACATCAGATACAACGTGTCGTAGTGACACTACGTTTAACGAGATTGGTGAAGACAAAGGCATTATTAAGATACGAGATCATTTAAGCGATTGTTGAAATAGTACAAAATCTTCCTCGGCGAACTGAAGGGAAGATTATGGGCAAAAATCTCCGGTATTTCTGCATACAATGTAGATTATATTCCTCACATTAGCTTCACTTTAGTTAGGATAACAAATGATTAAAAAAATGACAATACTCTTTCCTCTAAGTTAGCCTCTTTCTTTGTAATAATAGTCTCTTCCGCTTTGACGATGTGTCGAGTGGGAAACATTGTGCGAATTTGAGACGCAAAAAAAAACACGATTGTTCTGTTCGTCTCCCCGCACTTATATTATATCCGCCTTTCTCAAGACTCGCTTCGAAGGATTCGAGTTCCATGAGGGCTCTCCGTGTAGCAAAGGGGTCGACAGAGGACTCGACTGTCGGATCTCGCGGGAGTTGAACTCGTGCGGCACGTCTCCGGATCGATCGATCTTGCTCGCCGCTCGTGATGTCACGTTGCAACCGGCGGGTTACCGATACCAAAGGAGGAACACGGTGGGAGACCACGCGAGGGACTTACTGAGACACGTGCGGTAGCGAGTTCTATAATTTTAAAACCCTGCCCTTTAAACCGAAGGTACAATTCTGGCGTTTACGGTAATGGATAGTGGTGTTTGCTTACGTTCGACGGAAATAATCACAATTATTTGGAGAATTACGTTAATAAAGATAGTTGTCAGCATCGACTCTCGATAAATCGCCGCGAGTAATATGCTTGATGTTGCAAAAAAAGGTCGAAAAGAAAGAAAACGTGAAAAAGGAAAGAGAGAGAGAGAAAAAGATCTAGTACGCTAAGTAGCTCAAATGCTGCGATCGATAGCAATACACAGTGAAAAGGGTTAATGACGGAAGAGTGAAATGGTACGAAAAACTCGCGAACAAAAGAGGATATGTTACGATCGGATCGTATGTTATTCGCAGTCTCGCAAATGACAACTAATTGCTATACCTATAATGGTGTGCATAAATTCGAGTGTTTCGACCATAGCCCGGCGGAAGAGCCATTTATCATCCGTTCGTTTTATCGTAAAACTTTTTTGAAAGAGAAAAATTTGTCAGAGTATTTTTCGTTCAAATTCTGCTCGAACCTTCTGGAGTTCTTTATATGAATTAGTGCAAAGAATCCTTTTGTCATGCCGGCACAGCTTATTACATCGTCTTTTATACATTTTATTACACGGCTTGTACAGCGCGAACACATACATGCATCAGAAGCAGCGCATTAACGAAAAATTAATGAGTTTTCCAAGTCCGCACAAGATACAATTTTACAATCTTTAACACGACTTCTTGCGGATGTCTGTTAACTTAATCCCACGGCATTTACCCGAAGCGTAATCACACTGAATACACAATACACTGTATTGTGAATACTATGTATTTGAGTAAAGTTATTGAATTAAACGGTGGTCAATTACACGAACAACTCGACTATTGATAGCGTTGACGCGATGATAGCGTTCTCAAAATATCTCCTGATAAACCTAGTACACAATTGTCTCAGTCGTTTACTTTCTCACGTAATTGTTTACTTTCTGAAAGCGACCCTCCTTTCGTAGCAGGAAAAGAAAAATAATTCAATCTCCGCTCCCTGTGTAGCGTGAAAAGAGAAACTTCCGCCTTATGAAAGCTGCAGAGATTTCAGTGCCAGAATTGTGTAGTACCTCGCTGTAGAGCAATCGATTTACGAGTCGGTGAAAATGCTGCGTTATTCTTCACCGAGTTAATACTCTCTCAGCGATAATAATTACCGCCGAAATCACCGACAGGTCTGACATTGTCGCGACGTTTGCAACGCCGTAGATTATTTATTTGATTAGGCGCAATTTATTAGAGTAGCCAGTGCATTCGAATTAGCCTCCGTGGATTAGTGGCGATCACCATCAATCACGAGCTGATTGGGGTTAGAGGCTTGTCGCACGCCCGATTTACAATGTACGTAAATTACTGGAAAATTACGATATAATAATTAGGCTACGTTGTTTGGCTATCGGCATAATTTAGATACGCGGTATTCGCGCGTATTCAGTGTGATTACGTTTCAGGTTTCAGGTATAAATGCCGCGGAATTGAGTTTTTAATTGAAACCATGTTCTTTCTGGTGCTCCTTTACAGATGCTGGTTGGATTAATGAACTTATCGGCGAATCATATTATAGGTAATCCACTGGAGAGTCGTAAGTCGCTGCGCTAAAGACATGATCCCAGGTATTAACGATTCCTAGTTTGTAGGTATAATTTCCCATAATGGTCGAAGTTAACATTATATACATCGAACCGGGAAGACACTAGTTTCAATCTTGTATTTAAATATCTTTTACATTTGCGTTTATTGAGACTCGCGTATTATTTTATATATTGCACAGCTTTTCTGGAATTTTGTAATAAACAAAATGTGAAAGACGCAAAAAAGGAAAATAGCTGATATGAAAACAAGAGGAAGTTACAATTAGAGAAGTTTATAAAAATGCATGGCACTCGTTTTATATTATATTTAGCATATTTATTGGTATACATTTGAAAGAAATCACGGCATTTATACCAAATTAACGATCCCCTTTCGGTGTGTATTTTAAGAAATATGTGTCGACGTAATCTTTCGATAACATCCGTTTGCGGACTGAGCTGCCTGATCGATATGCTCCACGCGGAATACATTTAAAAGCGAACTACACGTTGATCGGGTATAAAAATCTAGTGAGCGAGCGAAAGAACAATGGGCGCAGCGAATGAAGACGTATGCAGTAAAAGTTGAAAGAAAGAAAGTAGGGGAAAGCGAGTAGGGGAGTAAGAAATCTTGCGGACACCTCTCGTTCACGTGCAATCGAATCACCGGAACGATTTCTCAGCCGACCTTTCCTTCGAGCGGTTTATCAGGGAATACTTTAAAAGGTTTATCAGGGAATACTTTAAAAGGTTGACCCGGTCAATCCTTTGCCATTTAAAGCAAGACGGAGCAGAATCTGTTCTGTATCCAGAAAGCACCTCATTCGTCTGTACCCCGGATATACGCCCGACATTTAGCAAGGCTGGCACGTATCCCGTCTCCTGGTAGTACATCGAATTTATCGTCGAGATTATCAGGGACACGAGACCCATAACGTGTAAGCCATTTTTGAAGGGTTCAAAGGAAAAAAAAGCACTAAACATTCAATTCATTCGCGTTTATCATCCATTTCAAGCACATTTTCGTAAAACGAGATAGAATTTACAAAACTACGTGAAAAATTTTGTTAAATATTTTACTAAGACACGTACGAATATTATATCTACACATTTTATTCTTGAAATTAGAAATTTAGTCGTTTCTCAACCCGAGTGAGTAACAAAGCAACTTTGCCGATGAGACTACGTCAACTTGACTGCAAGAACTTCCCCTTCCTAAGCGCATTAATGTAGATTAGTTGGAAGATGCTGATATCCTTGCGCACAGCTAGGATTGAAAGTCTGTATCTAGATAGATAATCTGACGGAGATGCACAGATAAATACTCGAAATGATACAATTTCAAGCTGATAAATCCGTTTCATCGCTAAATAAATTAATTCAACTTGCAAGTCGCTGTATGAACGAAAATGATGAAAAATTTTCATAAAGCGTTATAATATTTTAATCATCGTTATTCCTCGAGTTATTTTAACACCGTGCAATTTATGTATGTCGGTCGAGCGATCTATAAACTGATGAATTTTAATTATACCGTTGTTATTTTCACCGTTGTCATTAACGTGGATCGTTCATAGATATGCACACCTACGATGGAAACTGAACGGCTGGCTTACGATCTCTGTCCCTTGTACCGAATCATTTACATAGGAAGACGGATAGAACGGATCGTTGATCGTGTCAACCATTATTCCTCGTGGCACGCGAAATCGATTATAGGAAGCTGCAATGTTCGTTATCGGCAGATATGCATCATTCAGGAGGATAGAATTTTCAGAAAATGCAGACTTGCTGACGCTTTGCTGTGTTTCGAATAAATGCATTTTAACATCAAAATATTATTCACGCATACTCGGATGTTTTTTCGATTGCATCATTTAAACTAGTAGTCTCTGTATAAATTTTTGACAACATGGTATTCTGTCGGAGACCTAACGGACTCAACAAATATTTAAATTTTGTGTAAATTTCGACTATTTTGTATTTATATTTTTTAATACGCTATGTTATTACGTTAACAAATATTTAACAAAAGTTTTATGCTTTGAAATAAACATTATACACACTGCACACTCATCAACAATCACAATGAAGTTTATAGAAAAATGACAAATACTTGAAATTGGACAGAAAATAAAAATTAAATTTTATAAATGTTAAATGCCAAATAAGCCAACTGATTAAGCATAAGTTTGAAGAAATAATTATTATTTGCACATTGAACAATAATGAAAAACTAATTTTATGAGATAAAAATGTTAAGAATATGGCTTACAGTCAGGAAAAATATTATCTCGTTTATTCAGAATAAAAAAAATTTTATCCTGCTTTTAAATTGCACGAATTATATATACACAGTAAAAGTAAATAATTAATATTAGCATTTAGTTTGTTTCAAAATTTAACAAATTGCAATTATTACAACTTGAGCTGTTATGCACTTTTTAACGCTCAGCGAACTAATTAACAAACTCATAACAAGCGACGCTTGGACAAAAGGAGAAACTGTAATCAAGCAGTGCATACGGTTAATGTTTTTATTGATCCCCACGTGTATGTATGTGATTCTTGTTGACGACTGTAAATTTGCTCACTATCGATTACGAACACTTCTTTCACATTTCGTTCACATTTAATAAAAAAAAATCTATTGAAATTCACGCGATTCGCTGCGAAAAATAAAATTTGTGATGGTTAACGTATCCGTGCGTCTTCTCGCTCATCTCTTATAAGTGAAACAGTTTCGTAAGAATTTAGCTATCAAATCGAGTATCTTTGTCACTTACCCCAGCAGAATTCTTGGCAGTTGTAATCTTACGTAAGCCTTATTATTATAATGATGACGGAAACAAAGTTTACAACGTAAAGAATATACCACTCCCGGTTGGTACAGCACGGGCGGCTGGCGACTGACTGCTGCGGAGTTTGAAAGCTCGCGATTCTCAGAGCGACCTCTGTAATTTCCACGTGCTTGCAATGGTCACGCACTGGCGCCATCGCAATACGTATCAGTGGTGCATTTTGACCTATTTTAAAATAAAAGATTGACCACTTTGAAAGGAAAATCGTACTCGACGAAACCACAGTTTCACTTGCTTAGTATTCTAATGAAATTATAAATGTTTTAAGATGATCCTTTTTCCTTTCATTATAAGAAGATTGTCGAGCTTTATCCTTTCTAATTTTTATCTTTCTTTTATACCTGCACTGAAATCTTATTTTAAGAAATAGCGTATTACATTTCATAATAATTACATAGGTATATTAATATGTACGCAATAATTACATATGTGTGATTAACCGAATTTTTATTAAATCTCACGTCACATATACGTGACAGTGCTGATGTTTCGTTTTATAAACACATGAATAAATGAAGTTCTTAACACGATTAATAAGCTGTAAAACATATAATCAATAAGCTGTAGAATATATAACTGACGTGGTCCAAAGTTACATTATGCTTGTGAAATTTGAAAGATCAACAATGGCAAAATATTATACTAAAAAAAATTACAAAATATTATAAATGAAATAAGGTTTTAAAGTTCTCTCTCTCTCTCTCTCTCTCTCACTCTCAATATTAAGTTTTATATTGATACATGCAATTTATTGTGGAAAAAATTTAAATTTTGATATCTGATTCTACTTGTACGTATTGTTCTAGGCAGCAATGTTTTATTTAAAAATGGAATATTCGGCTTTTGAGTCGAAGAGTTCTAGGATCATGCATTTGAAATACTAATAAAATAATTCTATTTTGATATACAACAAGGTCCGCGTGGTACTCTAGTTGCTCACCTTTATCAACTCTATTTATAATTCTAATTGTAATTAATATTAATATTAAAAGCTATGATTTATATATTCAAAATACTATTATGGAAGTGACATCTCTTTCAGTATGCTTATGCTCGCAATGCATACAGAACAAGTTAATAAAATTATTACAATAACTTTATAACATATAACATGGTTATTACATATATGGAAATACCTTTATTTTTATGCCGTGAACGGTAAAAACACAAACCACAAAAGATGACAAAAATGTTTCATTTGTCCTATATGTTGTAGAAAAATAATTATTTTTTATCAATTGTTCGCTCAGCTTATTGTTTAATTCGAGTAATATTAATATTTAATGTTTTATTATTTGAATGATTTTACATTTTGTACATTTGTTATTATATTTGCATTTTGTTCCCTAGAAAAAAGCTGCGATAAAAATTATTTGTCACATTTAATAATGACTTCTCCTTAGCCTATTTTCACGATATTTATAAAAATATCACATGAATCGTATTCTAGGAGACGTTAAGATTGCTTCTTCCGACATTTCTTCTTTCGCGAGAAATTATGGAAGATATTAAACTTGGTACTTAGTACAATATTTACTAAGTGCATGGACGAAAGTAATATTAAGCAATAAATTAATGTAATATTCTTTCTAAACGAAAAAGAGCTTTACTGATTTCGGAATTATATACTTTGCCGGATGGACGGTTATGATTTCAATATTTGCTATTCATCGTATGACCTTACGTATTACCATAAGCCATTGAAATTTATTCCCGAACGATTTTTGTCCGAAAGTTTGTCAAACTGTCGCCATTCTACATATATTCCGTTTGACTCGTAGAGTTTGCCTAGGTAGATGTTTTAATATAAATCAATTATTTAGAAAACGGTGGTTTCGAAAAAAGGGCAAAATCGTATTAAAGTATCTATTTATCGTAACGCGTTACATAATCAATTTTCATTAAAGTTTATAACCTTTATTTTCTTTCGGGAATTTTGTAGTACGTTACAAAATTAAATTTACATAATTTACATAATTTTCACGCTAATAAGTTAAATAAAAATATATGTGGTATAAAATATGCACCCCTAACATTTTGTAAAATATTAAGACTTGTTTTATTGATTTATGAATATATTTTTCTCTTGATTTCTTTTAATTTTTATGGCATGCATTTTACCCGTGGCGATAATAATCGTAAATCTGATGCAAAGATATTGATTTGCGATGTAAATACTGGAACCAACATAGATGATGTTAAAATAACATCCGATATCATATCTACTACGAATTCGAAATGCCAGATTGTCTCTATCTCCTGTATGAGCTATCGACAAGCGATTTACAATAATTGATAACCTTGGTAAACATTAATTTCAATGGAGTGTTATTTTATTTTAGAGAATGTTAAAAGTTTTAGTACAAATATTTTCAATGCTAAAATGGTACGCATTAATATAATGTAACCAATTAATTAAAAATAAAAAAATTGTAATTAATATATTGCAACAATATTGGCATAACCTTTTGAAATTCTTTGCTTTTTTCTACAACTGTCTTCTCTGATTTTAAGTCACTAAAATTAAAATATGATGTAATTAGTTATTACAAAATTGTAATGAAACGTTTTAATAATCTGCATGTCCTATATATTAAATATAACATAAGAAAATATAATTATAATTTATTGAATAAGTATAAATAAAAAGAAAATACATTGCGATTTAATAACAAATTATGCGTCTGAAGATAAGTAAGCGATTTAGTCTGAAAGATCTCAGATTTCTGCAAATCCATAATGGATTTTATCAATTCTAATTCTGTAATATGATGCAGCACGCAAGCACGTATAACAAGTTACATTTCTATAATACTCTCTTGCATGCAATATACTCATTAGTGTCTGTTTGCTTCTTACTTCCATGCGAATAAAGTATGATGCATATTACGACTTCTTGAATATGAACATAAGCGTTTTTTGAGAGTAAACTATACTAGTTATAATTGATGAAAGAGATTAAAGATCAAACGTATTGTGTTTTGAACAGCTAAACAATGAAAGAATTTTATGTAATTATCATACGATGTGCAAAACGCGGTTCATGAATGAAGAATCACGTAAGTCCGCACATTCGTGAGGAAAACCTAGCAATTCACTACCTCATTCGTGCTCGAAATTTTAAGCGAACATGAACGTGAGGCGATGCCTTCAGCATAGTCGCTAGAAGAAACATCTGTTCCAATAATGTCGCAAAATTCTAACATAAGTAACATTACGCGACTTCATGAATAGGTAATAAAGAAAAGTTGCCGAGGAAGATATATATGTAAAATAAGAATAAATAACTTTGTTTTACATGATTAAATAGGTGATTATTTAAGTTTAATTACAATTTCAGAGATCTCTATTGTTCTACAAAAATATCTCGACGTATTTGCAGAACGTTTTGCTAAATTAAGAAAAAAGCAACTTAGTAAAAAGACACGTATTTATCAAAGGAAACAATAAAAAGTTTTAAGAAACATGGATCCGAAAATCAACTATTAACGAGTTATTACTAATTTAAACTTGTGAACGCATAACGTAATATCATTACATAATAAATTAGCATCAAACTTACATAAAATTACAAGAACTGTTCAAAGTGACTACTTTCAACAGCGATACGTGCTTCAGTGCGTCTTTTTAGGGTTTACGGAACTCGGTCGAAAATAATAGGACAGTTTCCGTACAAACCGTTGAACCAAATTTACAATGCGTTCCTGAAATTAGTATTTTGGATAGACCTTTCGGATGGGCAACGTAAACTGAAGTTTTAAGATGACCCCCATAGAGAAAAATCAATGAGCTAGATATCTGGTGAACGAGAAGGCTGAAAAATTGAACTGCTTCTACAAATTTAACCGTTCCAGACACGAGACGTTTAAGAAGTGTCGAGTAGTTAAAGAAAAATTGACACCATCGTGCATGAAGCAGGAGAGATATTTCAACTTAGATTTTTCTTTAAACATTTTTGCAAATAATTTGAAATACTTTGGAACTAATATAATTAGATAATCTTCGGTCTCATGTAGTCTCATAGGCCTTCGGACTCATGTTTATTATCTTTTTAATTGTTTTATCTCTACATAAAATCACGTTTGCCAAATGTTTTTAGGACACGCTGTATAAATTCCGCGCTTTTTCCGGACAACTGAACGTGTATTCTGATTGCAAAAGTAAATTACTCGTGTAATTACGATAGCGCAAGGTATATATCGGATAGAAACTGCATCTTCTTTCTCGTCACGTTTCCGTCATAACGATAATTTGAACGCTTGCTGAGGCGACTCAGCGCGCAGAAGTCTAGTCATATTTTCCTCATTACGCGAAACTCGCGACTGAGTTTAAATTCAAAGGACACTCGAGTGGATCAGGCGACGCCAAGTAGAAAAGCCGAATCGACGCGAACGATATCGACGACTTCACCAAAGTGGTTAAGGAATAAAAAGGAACGGACGAGAGCAAACGAGCTGAAGAGGTCATCGCCAACTTACATAGAAAAGTACATTTCCTCTTCATCGACTTTGAAGATTTTCAACTCTGTGGTCTTTCCTCAGATAGAAAGAGATATATTTTGATCGTAATACATCATGAATGGAAAGACAAAGTTTATTAATAAATAAGGAATTAGATAATTGATATATATAACTTTATTGTACCACATTATATCGTTTAACATTTACTTACGATTTTAACAAAAATAGTATGTTCTTTATGCATAGAATGCAAAAGTCAAGGACAAGTTACTGTCGTGAAATAAGTTTTCAGCATTTCCTTAGAGTAATGTTTTCATGAAAATTAAATGGACTGGGTTGAATCCGAGGAAAATGAAACGAATTCGTAATTATGAAATAAAGCAACGACAAATTAAACTATGACTGAAAGAAGAAAATTATTAATTTCTTATAAATATGAATGTGACAAGGGAAATAAAGATTAATTTAGAGAGATCGTAATTTCAGAATATTTTTAAATATTTCTAAAAGACTATATGTGTGTTGGTTTTAACAGCTATCTTACTCCGGGGACTTGGCACGAATTTTCTTCGCAAATCGTTGTTCGCCGATCG